TAAAAACTACAGAATTGCAAGCTCTCTTAGCAAGTTACAAATACTTAGCTCCAATCAGGTCTTTTCAGATGATCTCAAAAAAGGACCTCACGCCTGGCACTAACATTCTTTGCTCCTGTCTCCCTTCTTCTGTCTCTCTCTCTTGTGGTCTGTTCCTTGATTTACTCTGTCCTCTGTCTTTTGTCCTACAATTTGACACTCTTAATCATTTACCCAGAACGTAAGACAAAATATAGATTATTTGAATACCTAGGTAAACCTGAATAAAAAACACTGCGTTCACAACAGGCTAAACATTTTAAGATACCCGGCTGAGTAATTTTTATTTTTAATGTTAATTTAATATTTAACATACTGTGATACATAAAATGAATAAAAATGTCAATATGGTATGACATTTAAATTATATTATTGATTTAAGATTATTCCCAAGGAGTTAGGCAGTGGCCAGGAATCGAACCTTTAGCGTGGCAGCCCAGAATTCTACTGTCAGACATGGGGCACGTTGGTGCAACACCCTGGTACCTACTTGCACCCACTCAAATTCCAGAAACAAGGTTTAAACTCCCCCAGTGTTCAGTGTATATTGTGATGTATTTTTTATACTATTCTGTAACAGTTAAAATACACTATGTATATATCCTGTGTACACTGACTCTGTTCCGGTGTACACTGTCTCAGTTTGCACAATCTTATTAATATTAGTATTACTAGTCCTGTCTACATTATCTATGTCTGTGTCTTGTCTGTAATTGCACCGTGGACCAGGAGGAACGATATGTTGTCCCACTGTATACTTGTACTGTATATGGCTAGAATGACAAAATAAACTTGAACTTGAACTTAAACGTTAAGAACTCACTGTGCCACCTGGCAATTTTACAGAGTAGTGCAGTCCTGCACTATATTATTTAAACGCTGCATCACCATATCAAAAGTTGAAGAAGTGAGCAGTTTTACATCCGATAGATTGTTACACCGACGTCTCCACTGTGGTACCATTGTCAGCATTGCTACCTTGCTGCAGCTGAAGCCCTGGGTTCAGATCCAGACTCAGGTGCCATCTGTGTGTTTGTACGTTCTCCCCTTGTTCTCCCCTTCTGGTTTCCTCCCACAATTCAAAGACATTACTGGTAGGTTAATGGGCTTTTGGGAAAATTGGCTCTGGTGTGAGTGTACAGTATGTGTATGCCCTGCAATGGACTGGCGTCCCATGCAGGGTGTACCCCACCTTGTGCCAGCTGCTTGCTGGGAAAGGCTCCCGCTCCCCCATGGCGCTGAACTGGGCAAAGTTGTTAGAAAATGAATGGATAGATTCTTAGATCATTCATGAACAACAACTAAACACAAAAATAAAATCAAGGTTCATGTATGCATTTTACAATCATGAAGCCAATTATCTGAAACTAATTAATTCATAAATTTTAATACATTTAAATGTGATCTTCTTTCCATGTACAATATACAGTAGTTTTGCTTGTGTGCCATCAAACTAGAGGTGAATATGTTCAGAGCCTATGGAGTGCTGAATGACCATTCTCACCCCAGTTGTACCTGCAATTCAAAAGCTCAGTGGAAGGCTACAGTAGATGTCAAAACGCACGTGGAAGCTGCAGTCTATATTGGTGTACTGTGTTCTGGTGAGTGATTTGGATGGCACTCCTGTCATGTAAACTTACTGAGAGCCTTGATGTACTGTGGCAAGGAGGAGGAAAACAGAGGAGAATTCTGGCACTTAATCTACTAGGTTGTTACTACCATAAAGGGTCATTTTACAAAGCTACAGTGTTCTCCTGCAGATGTATTCATTGATACGCTGCCTTTTAAGGACAAACATGCCAATCCTTTATGAATCAGCATAATCACAGGAAGAGAGATCCAGAGATGAATGAGAGAGGAGGGACAGAGAAGAGAGAGAAAAACAATCCAAGTCAGAGATTACGAGTGGCAGCCAGTATATGTTTAAAAGGATTAAAAACATAACAAATGACTATTTGAAATGCCTCTCATTAGACATACAGATGAGGAGAAAACTCAGATTCATCTCTGTCGGAAACTCTCAGCTTCAATGCATTTCTCTCTCAGAAAATCCCGAGCAGTACTTGCAAGGTAATTTTCTGTGACATCCTGCCCTACTATATCATGAGGAATTTCATGGCATGGACCAAGCAATGAGGACTACAAAATCAAAACAAACTAAACGCGAAGTGTTTATTTGCTTGAGCTCCAGCAGAACAATGTGATTTTCAAACTCTCTCATTAATTCTGGATGCAGGGTGAAATAATTCTGAGTTAAGCTAAGGTAACAAGCCAATCAACTGTATGGAAGCCCACTGAGACTCTTTCTTGTTATTTACGCTTATCTTCATGTAATAAAAGTTACTAACCCCACTTCCAAAACTGAAGCAGGATTAGTTTTCTTTTGGCCCAGAACAAAACAACACACTCTGGTGCAAAAATATCCGCTTCCAGGTTTGAAAAGAGAAGTCGCAGTACTACTTGAATTGCACTTTGATACTGTAATAGTAACAGTGACATTACAAAACCTCTCGCAAATATAGAACCATTGCAAAACTTGAGACATCAGGACTTCTCTTTGCCTTAGCCAGTCAGAGTACAAAAGACAGTGAATCACTACTGACAAATAATAATGACCAAAACAGCAAAGAATGAACAATAAAGGCCATTCAGTTGTTTTTAAACACTTGTAATTTTGGAAATGATTGTATGTTTTTAACCATCTAGTTCACTCTCAGAATATATGTTTTTAAATTCACATCCTAGATTCTCAGGTAGGTCCATTATGCCACTGTGGAGCTTCTGCTGTTCCATGTGCACTGCATGACATCTTGTTTCACATTTCAGTTATCATACAGTATGCACTATACTGTATACTACTGTACTTGTATATCCAGGGCCTATGACTAATTGTCCTACATTCTTATTATATAAACCTTTCTGTATGCTTGTTTATATATATTTGTTTACTTTTAAATGTATTTTTTTCTTTATCACTATGTATAGCGTCCTTGGGTTTGTTGAGATGCTTTATAAATAAAATATGTAATATTATCTATATCCAACACTGAGAGTTTGCATTTCATCAAAGAAAGTACTATATCTTCTATTTTGACTACTGTACTTTTATTTTATATTTTTATTCCATTTCTGTGAATTACACTTGATTCCTCAAACATATTATAGGCCAAATAGCCAGCAGCCATATCACTCTGCAACTCACAACTGGCAACCTACTG